CAGCTGTGCCAGGGGAGGGTTAGGTGGGATACTGGAAAAATTTCATCATGGACAGGGTTGTCCAGCCCTGGCCCAGCTGCCCAGGGCAGGGGTGGAGTCCCCATCCCTTGGAAGTGTTCAGAAAACTTGTGGATGTGGCCCCTGGGCGCATGGGTTAGTGGTGACCATGGTGGTGCTGCTGGGCTGATGGTTGGACTTGGGGATCTTTTCCAACCTTAACAATCCTGGGATCCTATCTAAAGTTATTCAGTAGCTCAGACCCAGCTCCCCATCAATATTCCACATTAGAATCAGAGATGAGAGTGTCTTAAGGAAGGAATTCTTCCCTGGGAGGGTGGTGAGGTGCTGGAATGGATTTCCCAGAGAAGCTGTGGCTGCCCCATCCCTGGAAGTGTCCAAGGCCAGGTTGGATGGGGCTTGGAGCAACTTGGGCTGGTGGAAGGTGTCCCTGCCCATGGGGTGGAACCAGATGAGCTTTAAGGTCCTTTTAGATGATCTTTAAGGGCCCTTCCAACCCAAACCATTCTGGGATTCACGTTTCTGTGACACAGAAAGTGTTTTTTCTCAGTTAAAAAAATACCAAGAAGAGCTTTTCTTTCCTCAGCTGTGCCAGGGCTTAGTTTGCCCGTGTAAGGAGAGAGGATTAATTGTAGCTTTTCCGCAGCAGTGAAAATGCCCCGCGGAGAAAGAGCCTGATGAGTTCGTGTCGTGGTTGCAGGCAGAGCGGGGGGCACAGGGCAGAGCTGGGGGCACAGGGCAGAGCTCAGCCTGGGCACAGATGCACGCACAGGGGGCATGGAATTCTGAAACCGGGAGCGGGGAGAGGCGGGGATATGAATATGCAAAGGGGGCAAAACCATCCCCAGACAAACCAGCGCTGGCTGAAAACCCTGGGGACATTCCAGAGGCGGAGCAGCGCCGGGAAGCAGCGCTGTGCCAGCCGGGTTTGGTGCCCGCGGGCAGAACCGCCAGCTCTCTCCGCGCTCATTGTGTGCGTAATCCTGACACGAGCTGGGGAGGATTTATCCCTGCAAAACCGGCGGATAACCGGATGAAAGGGTTACATTATGCATCCCATTCTTCCTAATTAACTTGATTTGTTTTGGTGGGGTAATTAGAGGAGCGTATTAGGTGTTCTTTAGCAACAGTGCCCGCTCTCCGGGATTTATCCCGGGACAGCAGCATCCCGTCCCGTGGCCCGGCACACACACACGCGTGGTCTCTCATTAGCTCCACTCTTTTCTCATGCAAATGCTTCCCGTTCTGGTTCCTCAGGAGAGGGATCCTCTTTGTGAAGGAGTACGTGAACACCGGCGGCTTTCCAGCCTCCCCACGCTACGGAAGGTACGAGGAGCGGCCGGGGACACTCGTGTGTCCCCCCCGTGTCACACACTCGTGTGTCCCCCCCGTGTCACACACTCGTGTCCCCCCCGTGTCACACACTCGTGTCACCCCCGTGTCACACACTCGTGTCACCCCCGTGTCACACACTC